CTCTCACTCAATCTCTTGCCCTCCCTCTTTCCCTTCCCTCTCTCTCCGTCTCTCAGCTATCTCTCTTTCTCTCTCTCTCTTAATATCCCTCCCTCCTTTCCGTTCAATATTTCCCACCCCTCTCTCTCCGTCTCTCAGCTATCTCTCTCCGCCAATTTCTCTGTCTCTCTCTCTCTCTCTCTGAATCTATACATGAAACAAGCCAGTACAAGGCCGTTAAAATCAAAATACTTAATTTAACTGTTGGAGACGTAAAAAGATGCATATAAGTGAGCAATGAACTAATCGCTACCTCAACGCTCAGTGTCAGAATATCCATATCAACATATCGACATTTAATATTCGCAGTGTTGTGTCTTGGTCTGTTTGTGACGTCAGGTGGTACGGAAGTCAGCGGAAACATGTGCGCATCAGATCAGATGGATGCGTGTACACAGGATGCTTGTCACTTACGTCCCAGCAGATAGAGGATAAACATAAACATCGTCAAAAGGACATTCAAGTTTCTAAAGTATCGATCTTTAACAGGCCTTTAAAAGACCTCTATATACTTGTAAGCAGCTGAATCTCTGCACTGTGGGGCGGTGGGGTGGCCTAGTGGTTAAAGCGTTCGCTCGTCATGCCGAAGACCCGGGTTCGATTCCCGACATGGGTACAATGTGTGAAGCCCATTTCTGGTGTCCCCCGCCGTGGTATTCTGAGAATATTGCTAAAAGCGGTGTAAAACCATACTCACTCATTCACTCACTCACTCTGCACTGTGTATATTTGCGTTCCCTTTAAGTGGGGCGTATGAACAAAGAGTTTGTGGATTAACCTAGTTTCACTTTCTGTCTTTATATATAATTCTAAGCGAGTTGTGTTTAATTACTTATTATTGGGAGATGGAGAGAGTGATAGACGGAGAGATTGAGAGAGAGACGGAGAGACAGACGAAGAGATGGAGAGAAATAGCTGGAGACACCGGGAGAAACACGGAGAGAAAAGAGGCAGAGAGAGAGAGAAGGAAGAGAGAGAGAGAGAGAGAGAGAGAGAGAGAGAGAGAGAGAGAGAGAGAGAGATGTATACACAGGGAGAGAGGAGTTTTGAGACACGCTATGCTTTTCAACCTATCGCCAACTGCCGTACACATGGAAACAATTAACACATATGAAACAACTCCCTCAATGCGAATGCTCTAAAGCCTAGGTCCTTGTTCTTGCTTCCTGCCGGGTTTCAATGAATCAATACGTCTATGTCGACATGAACGTGACTCACCGCTGCCAGCGTGGTTCAGAAGCATCATCCTCTGTTGTCTATACTCTTCCCGCCATTGATTACAAGAGGACAACAAATGACCTTTTCGTAAAATTAGTCCAACTAAAAAGTATAGCACAGGAAATGACATGTTATCATTGTTATGTTGAAAAAAATGTTGAGTCGTCGTTGGCTACTGAGGACGAAGACCCCGAGCTGGAATCTGACTCGTACAGACGGTTGCCTCAAACGTCAATGTACAACTGATGGATTCTTACACAATACATACACATTATATTACCCTGTAGGTTTATTAACAACCAAACAGAGAGAGAGAGAGAGAGAGAGTGAGAGAGAGAGACAGAGAGAAAGAGAGACAGAGAAAGAGACAGAGAGAGACACCGATAGGCACTACATGCTGTTAAGATAATCATCGAAAAGGCTGCAAGACCTGAAGTGACACATCTTGATTGAATGTATCAAAGAGAGAGAGAGAGAGAGAGAGAGAGAGAGAGAGAGAGAGAGAGAGAGAGAGAGAGAGAGAGGTGGGGGAGAGAGGGAGGGAGAGGAGGGAAAGATTGAGGCGAAAGGAGGGAGAGATATTAAGAGTCTAAGAGCGATAGATGTGGAGATGGAGAGAGAGATAGACGAGATATTGAGAGAGAGACGGAGAGACAGACGAAAAGATGGAGATGGGGAGAGGAGAGAGATGATAGACGGAGAGACAGCGAGAGACAAAGAGAGACACTACATGCTGTTAAGATAATCATCAAATAACGCGAAAAGGCTGCAAGAGACACACGCACAGAGAGAAAGAGGGATAGACAGAGAGACAGAGAGAAAGGCAGAGAGAGTCAGAGAGAGACAGAGAGAGGGGTAGGGAGGAGACACCCGGTGTACACCTAGGACGTTTATGAAATGACCACTTGGTGGCTGCCTTTAAGCGCAGAAACACAAACATAGAAAAATATATAGAAACACATTTGATGATAATTAAATAATGAATGAAATAAATTTAGAAGTTGTATAAATCATTGATCGTGAGATATATTACGTGCTGTCCTCCCACACAACGATATCCCTGCCCAAGCCAGGGAGGGTCACGGTGTCCTAATTGGGAGGAAGTTAAGACTGGAATTAAGTATGGTTTTGCTCATTAGTGCATGGCTATTTGATCCTAACGTTCTCGTGACCCAGGCACCAAGAGCTGAAGTCACGAGGCGAGGGGTTCACGGTGTATAAGTGCCTAACTAACCAGTCTGAAGGACCTGTACTTGCATGGCTACCATCGGTTCATCATACTGCACTCGTGGCCGGTACTAAGTACTATGTTTAAGATAGTATCCCAGTACATGGTCAGCCAGTACAGCGCCTGGACATTGTGTTCTGAGACAACCGAGGATGGTCATACTTCCTGCACCGAATTGTCAATACATGACCTCGACTGACCTAAGGGATGACCATCTCTTACTTTACCATAACGTGCAATTGTTTGGCAGTTATAATAATTATTTCGATTTTGTATGCACATATATAGCAACAGTTACATACATCATTTGAAATGCATTATGTATAATAATGTTGACAGAACAAAACAGCACAAGTAGTACAGATGTGAATAAGTTGCTTTGTTTATATTGTGGCGTAATGGATGTCTCATGCAGTAGAGTGACGCTGGAAATTCAGTGAGATTCGAACAATTTCCAATTCAAATAAGAAATTGCCACTTGATAGTGATGTATTCGATACGGGTATGACATGCGATATTACATAGTACTGAGTATCGCACAACAGGTGACGTGCAGATGACGTCTCTCTTCACATATTCACACTACTCAGTAACGATCAGAGTGAAGTGTGGATTTTCAAGTGTATATTTTATTTTGCCTGGCATGAATGCTACTCAATGAATTACCAGGTTAATGAAAATCACGTATATCTTGTTCAATCTGGTATGTTGGTGACCGACTTAAGGTAAAAAGTGTCGCTATTAATCGCATTGTGATAAAAATGATCACTTTTAATCAAGAAACTATACAGCCTATCCAATGTCTTCGTGTATTGTATTCAGTCTGCCTTTGTCCCAGGTACGCTTAAGGGTTAAGAACCCAATTCGAGACATGTTCTAACCACGGGTTTAATTCAGTGTGCTTGTACAAACAAGACATTCAAGACATGTTCATCTGAAGGTAGCTAAATTTAGTTTAGTTTGTGGGTCATGCTTTCAGTAAATGCGGTATCACTGTACTTGTTTTTTTGTCCAACGATTACTTGATTGTCTGGTTTGTTTACATGCCGCATCACATCACAGAGTGGTGATGAAGGGCGCCAGGAAAACTACTTACATTTTTATGGACATTGTGTTGAAGAACAGGCGTACCCCTTTCACGAGCCCTGGTGTCATCGTGGGTTCAGTGATGTAATTTTCACCACTATTTTTCCTTTCACGCCCAATGGAATCTGTTTTGGCAGATATCGAGACTGACCATTCTCGTCTTTGACGTTTCATATTCCGAAGCTTTGACAAAACAGAACGGTATATGTCGTACATTGTGGTCCAGAGCCTATCTCAGACGTACTCAAGCGTGGACATACTTCCATAAATAGAAATGTCATGGTTGAGTGGAGATGGAATGGGTGTAGGGGGTAGATCTTATATCTACCTATCCTGGATAAACAGTCACTGACACCCACATCCAATAAAGTTTAATTACATCATGACTTATTTCTCAGGTTTCAGGGTCAGGAACGTAGGGTCACCTATATCTGGGCGAATGTGTCTCTTCCAGTTTTGTGAGAGACATTTAATGCCAGATATGTACACAAACCAGTATGTCTACTCTTCGGCAATGGCAAACATGATGCTTGGACTAGATGTCTATAGTGTCTGTAAAAATACATCAAAAGTTATTTAGAGAATTCTCATTATCATCAGACAAGGAACTGTTATCATATATTATATCCAGTATAAATAAATAAATAAATAAATAAATATATATATATATATATATATATATATATATATATATATATATATATATATATATATATATATACAGATTTGGACACAATTTACTGATATCATTTTGCACCTCTGAGATTCATGCCATAATGCAACATAGTTTTTAGTTTGACCCTTTCTTTTTTATGCTCTACTTTGTATTGAGCACTCTCTTCTGCAATAGGATCACACACACTATATATATATATATATATATATATATATATATATATTATTACTTCTCATTTAAAAGCATTTATTTTTACGTTTATCTTATGTAATCATTACATGAACACTTGCTAACCTGCTTGGTCATTATCCTGCTTGACTTTATATTAGTCATAGTTCATAAGATATTGATATCATAGAAATAATTACATTAACAACGATACTAAAGTATATTACATGCTGTATCCCCATCAACCTGAATATTTCTCGTTCATAGAATGAGAACTGACTTTTTAAAAACTTGTACAAGTACACAAACAGAAATTCAACGCAAAAAAACAATGCCACTGAGTACACCAGTTTCAGTTAATAAAAAACCCAATGGGATCGTTGAGTTTAAACGAAAGGATAGTTCAGTTTAACATTGTTTCTTTAAATTTAAATCGTTTTTATGCTTTTTCCTACAGACCACACTCCTTAGCTAACTAATGTCGTATTTCGTATGTCCCTGCGCAACACGAATGGCGAAAGGATATCCCTTCCTTGAAAACGCTCTGATTGGCTGTACGTGTTAGCCGTGAGTCATCAACGGAATACCCTTCTTAAGAGAGTGACGACCGCATGCTGGCTCAAAGGAAACAAGACGACCAGCATCACACAGACACCATTCTGCTGTACAGAACGCGTTATTTATTCGTATGTGTGTCACTGGGACAATATGAAAGGATACATTAAGTGTGCGTGCCTCTTTGTAACATGGTTTATTGTTACTGTGCAAGGACTTTCTGTCGACAGAGACAAACGATCCAGGAGAAGACCTATCAACCTTGTTCATGATTTCGACGTGGAGGTAAGACTCTTAAACGATTTGTTACTGATTTACTATTAAATGTATTCATGTTTACCTATCAATTTTATTCGATGTAATTCATATAAGTGAATTAGAAACATACATGTGAAAAGGGAAGGTTACGCCAACCTATCTACATCCTCCTGACAAAGGCATATTACGTTATCAATGATTCATGGTAATTGATATAGTTATGAATCGTATTGACTCAATGAATCATAAGCGAGTTCGCAGTGATGTAGCTTATATTTAACAGCACCATCCCAGTCACGTAGGGAGGCACATCATTTGGAGGGTTATCGATTTTACCCATGTTCTGAAAGCTATATTGCTTCGCCTGGATGAATCATAAGAGCATTTTCTGATATTTGCAGGGATTTCTCAAAGATTTCGGTTACATGGATAATATCCCAGCAGGAATCATGGGCGATAAGCTGCGTCCAGTATTTGACAGAGATTTGCAGGTTAAAGATGCGATCAAGTAAGTAGCTTTGTTCAATCGTTTACATAATAGTGAATATCGTCATAACTTTACAACCATGTGCAGTAGAGTTATTATAATGCTAATTTATATTGTAGGAATTGGTATGTTTGAACAGGGCTTTACTAACGTCACCATCAGTGTCTAAATGTCTAACGTCACCATCAGTGTCTAAATGTCTAACTTCGCAGCATCTGGTCTTCTTCTAATATTCTGTAATGTTTAGTGACGTGCGCAGGTGGGTAGGGGACACTGTTTGTCTAGTATATCAATGTGAAGGTCGAGCGTTGTACCTGTGCTTGAATACGCTTGTATGAAATTATAAGCAGGGATTGTGAACATAAACCCTCTGATCGCATGACTGGTGCTGTGGTTCATTGTGACGGCGGTGGCGGAATGTGGCCTAGATTCACACTTCAACTAGATTCAGCTGTCGGCTTGTGTGTTGTAACAGAAGCACTTTAACACTTTAATACTATGCTGAATAATTCATTATCTTTGTCGTGTATCAGATGTAGGCTTACAAGATGGGTTCATAATTTGGATAACAATATTTAATCACGTTCTGAATGAAATACAGTAAACTACGGTTATAACGAACACGCTTATAACGAACTGACGGATATAACGAACTAACTTTTTAGTCCCGACTATTTGCTGTAGTTATGCTGTATATATGCTTATAACGAATAACGGTTATAACGAACTAAATTAGTAGTCCCTTTGAGTTCGTTATAACCGTAGGTTACTGTATTGAACTCGAGGGGTAAAGGAAATGATTCGGGATGGATGAAAGTACTGTACCTTTGTGTCATTCGTAATAATACGAACGCAGAGACTAACACGGACGCACATACACACATATCGAAACTATTATTGCTATTTCTGTGAAGGGTTTAAATTACAACTTGATTTAAAGCTAGTTGCAGTTACCCTATTGGCCCTATATATTGAAGTTGTTTTCTCTTTAAGTGGCATTTAAGCGGCATGATGAACAAGGAAAATAGTTATATGGATATACAACGTCTCTGTTGCAATGAATGCGACGTTACGGTGAGATATTCGTCGCACCCAAAGCATGAAGGAAGTTGTATATCCATAGAACTATCTCCCTTTTTGTGTGTTTATAACCTTGTCACGCTATGCCTATATCAGACTGTATCTTTAACAACCCCACGAGCCGACAGCATTCCAATTCGCACAAAGCAACTGCCCGTAAGTCCTTAAATCCCTTTGTGAATATAGCACACAGTCACTCCTACCAAAACCGCAGTATTCACGACATACACAACACTGCGCAGTTAAACTCGGCATACGGCAAGGAGCGCCTTCACGTCTACACGTTTTTATATTAAAGCGAGTGTGCACAACCTATTTAAATCAAGTGGATGTTTGAGGACACTATGGCCGACGTACAAGTCAAACTGCTTTTCTGTTTCACAAAAACATGTTTCTAAGATCTATAATATTCGTGATAAATACAGTAGCTATATCACAAAACTATGAGCCGAACATATCAGGCAACTATAACCATGTTATCGGTTGCAAGATGATTTAATATGTTGGAATTATATCAGTGTGCTTCCTCGAAATTTAAACAAAACGTATATTTGCATAATAAGTTTTGAAACTATATTTAAGATCTAAATACCTTATAGTCTGAAAATAATTCTCGGAAATTTACATGTGGTTTAGTTTAATAATATTAATAGCAGTCTCTTGAAATCTACTAAATATTTGTAGCATAAACGGCATGATAGTTTCTTTTAAGCAATTCTCAGGACTTATAGTATTTGCAAAAACACGTTAACAAATAGTGAGACTACCAAATAGTTTTGTTCATGCAGTTTTCTGATTTATAAGATGTATTGAATTAGCCCCTTATAGTGTGGCAATAGGGAATTTGTCATATTATCCTTCGGAAACAATAGTCCAGCCCTCAAAGAAGTTCTAGAAGAATACGATTCGTTCCATGTTAATTTGTGGGACAGGACATTCTAACACTTTGCGCGAACACCTGGTGTCATTACCGATGTTCACTGATCCATACAAAGAATTTTCAGTTTTGTCTTTATGGCCATTTGCGTCGGTTTGGGCGGATATTCGAGTCTTGTTATTATCCGATGTTGACTTTCTAGTTTAACCAAAGAAATGTACGAAATATGATACCAATAGTAAATATATATAGGTGTAGGTGTTTGTGCGCGCACGTGAGTGAGTGAATATGGTTTTACGCCGCTTTTAGCAATATTCCAGCAATATCACGGCGGGGGACACCAGAAATGGGCTTCACACATTGTACTCATGTCGGGAATCGAACCCGGGTTTTCGGCGTGACGAGCTAACGCTTTAACCACTAGGCTACCCGACCGCCCCTGCGCGCACGTGAAATTATTACCAAAGTTTTGTCAAATATCCACACACCGTTATGAATTTGTACTTTGTTTTTACCATGGCGAGGTGGAGCCCGTTGATGTACATGTCACTCATTGTATGTTGTGTTATTGCAGAGACTTCCAGTATTACTATGGTTTGAAGCAAACCGGTGAAGTTGACCATAAGACGATGCGGATGATGAAGTTACCGAGATGTGGAGTACCTGACAAGGAACGAAATGTTGACATGCGCAGGAAAAGATCGACTGCCCACCGATACACGCACCTCGGTATGGACCATACCATGTATTAACATTTACTGCATCTATCGGGGGCACGGGTGGCCCAATCGTCTAAGGCGCCGCGATTCTGTGTGCAGAATTGCGTCACTTGGGCACGCCAGAAACCTATGATTGTGGGTTCGAATCCCGGTTCGCCCCGATTATGTTTCTAGGTTTGTCGGTACCACACCTGTGCTTGTGGGTTTCATCAAAGTGGTAAACGTCTGAGACCTGCATCAGTTCGGGCTTTCCTTCCACATTAAGCTGACACGCCGCGATATAACTGGAATACTGTTAAAAGTGGCGTTAAACCCAACTCATTCACTCACTCACATCTTTCGATAATGTTATTACTGTTATTTATATTGTGTTTGTTGTGTAACGCCGCGCTCAGCAATAGTCCAGCTTTATGGCGGCGGTTTGTAAATAATCCAGTCTGAACCAGACAATCCTGTGATTGACTCAATGAGCATCGATGAAGATACGATGACATGCATCAACCAAATGGTCGAGTCTGACCAGCGAATCACGTTAGTCTACTTTCACGACAAGCATGGGTTGCTGAAGATCTGTTCTATCCCGGGTTTTCAGGGGGTGTTTAATGTTAAATGTTAATGACACAACAATGACACAGCTTGTCATTGAAAGATGGCAACTTACTTCATCCGCCGGATAAACGCGGTGTCTAAGACTGGACACCGGTTGTGTTCGCTGTTCAAACGGATTTCGAGTAAAGTAGTTTCACTGTATTTACTGCCCCGTGACGATCAAGGGTAGAATAGGTCTTCAGCAACCGTTGCTTGCCATAAAAAGGTGACTATGCTTATCGTAAGAGGCGACTAACGGGATGGGGTAGTCAGGCTCGCTGACTTGGTTGATGCATGTCATCGTATCCCAATTTCGTGGATCGATGCTCATGATATTAATCACTGGATTGTCTGTTATTTACATACCGCCGTCATATAGCTGGAATGTTGCTGAGTGCGGCGTAAAACAACAAATAAACAAATATATAAACCGTTTATACTGTAAATGAATTGTTATGTAGTGTTGATGGTTTTCTTCAGGATCGAAATGGGAGAAGACTTCCCTCACTTGGAAGCTGACGAGGCCCACCCACAAGCTGAGAACAGATGATCAGAAGTAAGTTGAGACATTGCTCGTGGCTAAGTCAACTGTTACCAAATGTCTGTACGTTGTGAGGTGAGGTGAGGTGAGGTGAGGTGAGGTGAAATAGGGTTAAACGTCGCGTCCAATATTAATGCACATATATAGCGACGGGCATGCGCGCGTGCGTGTTTGTGTGTGTGTGTGTGCGTGCGTGCGTGAGTGCGTGCGTGCGTGTGTGTGTGTGTGTGTGTGTGTGTGTGTGTGTGTGCACTATATATAGCTAGTGATGACTCATGCCGGTTTTATATTGCTGGCTCACTGAGCTACCATGCCGTAGTTTAACATGAATATCCCACTCAGACACAGTATACTGACTCCGAGCCGACCAGTCCTTGTTTTAGCCCCTTGATGCTGAGCGCCAGGCAGGCTATTTTTTAACGTATTTTAGTATGACGCGGACAGGGATCGAACCCCGAGCGGACATTCTACCGCAACACCACGTCTGTTTTCGTTGACAATGTGTATTTCAGTGTTACTATGATCCTACAGTCATGCAGTCATAATTACTTCAACCAGTAATTCTAAAGCGGCAATTATTTATAAAAAAACCAGTCATACATTTATTGTTACTTCCCAATTTCAATTGACTGCTACAGCGGAATTCTTGAATAGCGAATAATTACCATTGAACTATTGACAGTGGCTCAGCTCAGCAACTGTTCTCTTGTTCGTACAGAACCCGGGACGGATACCATATGCGGCTCAAAGTGTAACGTCGATACAGGGTGTTATAATCTTGGAGAAATGACGTACCAAGTTATAGCACTTCTCACATACGTGTATAATCTTGGAAAACTTGTGTACCAAGATATAGCACTTCTCACATACGTGTATAATCTTGGAAAACTTGTGTACCAAAATATAGCACTTCTCACATACGTGTATAATCTTGGACAAATTGTGTACCAAGATATAGCACTTCTCACATACGTGTATATTCTTGGAAAAATGACGTACCAAGATATAGCACTTCTCACATACTGTATAATCTTGGAAAAATGACGTACCAAGATATAGCACTTCTCACATACTGTATAATCTTGGAAAAATGACGTACCAAGATATAGCACCTCTCACATACGTGTAGACTTTTCTGTAAGGACGATGTATCTGACGAAACATTTTCTATTCGTTTTGCAGAAGGACGATACGAGAAGCGTTTCAGATATGGGAAAATGTGGCGCCTCTGAGAATCACGGAAACAGCCGGGAACCCGGATATGGAGATATTCTTTGCTCGTGGTGAGCACGGAGACGGCAAGGCCAACTCGTTCGATGGAAGAAGTAAGGCATATCCTGATTTATTGATTTGTGAAATGACAAAAAGGCAGATTTGAATCTACTGTTTGTAGTTTGAGATATAATGTGAAATACACAATGTGGTAACATGTACCAGGACAGGCTGTAAGTTGTGTCTGTTGTTTATATTCGGCAATATTCCATCAATATGACCGCGGTCTGTAACTGAGCAAATCTATTCTACACAAACCAGTGATTGATAATGTGAACATGATACTCCTCATGGCGTAGGTCAGTTAAGTGGCAGTAAATGAATGTATAGTTTATGTTTACTGAATATTTGTTATGATTAAAGTTAAATTCATTCAAAAAATTGAAACCCTATTCTGCTTATTTAATTGTATTTTATGAAAGCATTAAAGAAAATTATGATGTCCTCAGGTCGAGTCCTCGCCCATGCGTTTGGTCCGGGCAAAGCGAAGATCTCAGGGGATGCACACTTTGACAACGACGAGGACTGGACATTGAAATCAGACCATGGGTCGGACATGTTGGTCGTAGCTGCTCACGAGTTCGGCCATTCCCTCGGCCTCGGACACTCACGAGACCAGGGGGCGCTTATGTTCCCTGCGTACAGGGGTCAGGACGCACTGACCCTCGGACAAGATGACATCAGAGCAATACAGATTCTTTACGGTAAGTTGGAGGTGTGGGTGTGGGTTTTTAGTGGGGAGGGGGTTCACGAGGGGGAAGGAACTTTGGTTGGGAGTCAGGGACGTGGGTTGGGGAGCAAGGGCCTTTTCGGGCAGGGACGCGGTTGAGGTGTACAAGGGTTTGTGTGGGTGGGTGCAGGAGCGTGGGTTAGGGCAGGGAGTCGAGGGTTGGGGAATAATGGGCGTTATTTTGAAAGGGGCATTGGGTGGAGAGACGGGGGAGGGGAGGGGGGAGGGGGGGGGGGGGGGCAGGGTTATAACTGATTTTGTGCGTGCAGAAATGTATTCTTTAGGTTGCTGAATTTTCGTCGATATAAACAAACTCGCATCTGGTTACAATTGTTCTTTCGTGTGTACATATATTTCTAACATTTTACAGGAATAACACTGAAGCTAAATCGTCCATGTTGAGTTTAATAAGGAGGGTACAGTGTTTCACATCTGTCACACGGTATGTAAACTTATATTATTTTGCAGGTTCCCGTCCCGGATATACAGTGAATCCTCGACGGACCCGTCCGCCGCCAGCCACCCGTCCTCCACCCCGTACCCGCTCCCCACCCCGCACCCGTTCCCCATACCGCCCACCAACCACTCCCGCCCCCACCACGACTACACCGTCACAGCCCTGCAGTGTAGACTTCGACTCCATCGTAGCCGGTGAGTACACACAGAAGACGCTGCTATATTGTAACTGAAAAATAGTATATAATTTTACCAAAATAAGAAACTTGATATGAAAATCCAAACCGTCACGATAATGTTAAGGAAAACATGCACTGTAAATAATAAATTACGACACCATGTTTTCTGTTTTTGTATTAGTCCTGTGGTTTAAAGTCCTGACTCCTGTTCGTTTTGAGATTCACCTGATTATGAGCTCATCTTTGTCAAAATCCATTCGGGTGCGTCTGGTTAAAATCCATTCGTGTGCGTCTGGTTTAACAATTCTGTTTAATGTCTACGACATGTTTACTCACTGATCCCCCACATCAAGCTGACACACCGCGATATAGCTGAAACGCTGTTCAAAACGGCGTTAAACTCAACTCACTCACTGCCGGGATGACGACCCGCTTGTCAAGGTTCTGCCCCGTCTTGTTCCAGGTCCCGAGAGGTTCTACTACGCCTTCAAGGCGGGGTCCGTGTTCAAGTTCAATGACGACGGCATGGAGGAGGGCTACCCCAAGCGCGTGCATGAGGTGTTCCAGGGTGCTCCAGAACAGATTGACCTTGCTTTCTCAGTTGACAGAACAGAAAAAATCTACATAATTAAAGGTGAGTTGTACATGGCAGACGTAATTCAAAATAAACAGACTGTGTTTTTTAGTTTCAACAAAATCACTTGATTGTCTGGTTTGTTTACAGGCTGACGTCGCATGGCAGGAATACTGTTGTGCTGCGTCCGGCAATAAATACTTACTTTTTATGCAAATTGTATCAATGCCGGTGATATCGGTAGGGCAGGACATGCTTACCGTTTCGCGAACACCTGGTGTCGTCACTGATTTTCAGTGATCCATTCATATTATTTCCACAGCCATTTGCCCTTTACGCCAAGGGAATCTGTTTGGGCAGAATATCTAGGCTGGTTATTCTCTTGCATTGGCAATTTCTATTCCCAGGTAGCCTGTCCATAGCGAGCAGTCAATAAGTCGATCTCTACACTTGTTTCGAAACCATTAACGTTTGAATCTGAAGCTGACAGACACGTGCAATATGGAGTATAGGACAACCCACCATAACAATCACGAGCGTGGCATGGAGTAGCGTTATGGTTAAGCGTTTGCTCGTAAGAGGCGACTAACGGGATCGGATGGTCAGGCTCGCTGACTTGGTTGATGCATGTCATCGTATCCCAATTGCCTAGATCGATGCTACGCTGACTTGGTTGATGCATGTCATCGTATCCCAACTGCATAGATCGATGCTATGCTGTCAATCACTGGATTGTCTGGTTCAGACTCGATTATTTACAGACCGCCGTCATATAGCTGGAATATTGCTGAGAGCGGCGTTAAACAACAAACAAACAACAACAAAAACAACAACAACAACATTAAACGTTTGCTCTTCCAACCAAGGGCGTGGGCTTGAGTACAATGGGCCGTCAAATTTCTAGAATATAGCTAACAGCGGCGTGAACTCATACCTTTCATTCTACTGGAACTAACCCCAAGATATTCTGGTTTCAGACAAGCAGGTGTGGCGGTACACGGATCTGACCCTTGACGAAGGCTTTCCATTTGAGTTCCGACGGGAACATTTCCCCGAAGCCCCCCGTTTCACCATGTCCCTCGTTGATGACAGAGGCAAGGCGAGGGTCATCATGTTTGGGGTAGGTACAATCAAATCTACGTTCACACCTCAAGACCTGAACATATCCGATTACTTATATACTGATCTCATTTTCAAAGACATGAGACCAATTACCATAGTTACGAAATACATCAAATGTCTCCCAACAGATTTGAGTATATTCTCTATCACTTTTTTAAAATATCTACCCAACCATTTTTGACAAATAGTGTCTGTTGCCGTATTTCAGACACGTAATGTCAATATGTATAATTTTGCATTCAGAGCAGCATGTTGATTTCATCCTAGTTTAGTTGGTCATTAAGAAAGTGTGTGTTTTAAAATTAAATTTGATTTTGACTTCCTACAGTTTAAAAAAAAGTTCCTGAACTGTGTAATTAAACTGTGATATGAACTGTAGAGAATGGAATCGAAACTTAATACACGTAGAGATATTCATGAATTGGGGTTTGTCTTCGTGACCCAACACGGAAGTAAAATGGTAGGTGATAATGCAGTAGCTACAGACCTTAGTATTGTTACATTCAGATTGCTTGTTGGACCTTTAGTAAATCGCGTGACTAATATATTAAGGTTTAAACGGGCAGAGTTGCGTCCCTTAGTCGTACCACGATCCAATGACAATGATTTCGAATCCAGGGTACGCCCTAATTATGATCCATACTCATGCTGTTCACTAAGGTGATAAAAGTCTAAGACCTACTTCATTTTGGCTTTTCCTTCTTAAAGCCTTTCCCCAACTCACTCACTCACACATTGAACTCGCTCTTTTAGGTGATAACAGTTGTTCTTGTTTATTCCTTCAGGCGACACAATGGTGGTTCTACAGTTTCGACAAAGTTCAGGACTCGAGGCCATTGCCCTACCAGATCTCGAAAAACTGGCGCGGAGTTCCTAGCGATGTCCAGTACTCGGTCAGATGGACCGACAACAACTACTACCTGATCACGTCCAATGGGTGAGCGATGTTTGCTAATATAAAGTTTGTCTGTTAATGTTAAGCTTTGCTGGTTCATATAAAGCTTATTTGTTAATATAAAGCATTGTTTGTAATGACATACATGTATTTCAGCACAAAAATATCAGACCATGGTCAATGTCTGCAATCCACTCTAAGCTAGGTGCGGTGCCTGGTGGTGTAAGCGTTCGCTCGTCATGCCGAAGACCCGGGTTCGATTACCCACATGGGTACAATGTGTGAAGCACATTTCTGGTGTCCCCCGCCGTGACATTGTTGGACTATTGTTAAAAGCGGCGTAAAACCATAGTCACCCAATCACTCACTCTAGGACAGGACATTTTTAGAATGTCATGTTTGACATCGTGGCTTTGTAAATAAGGTAAAACATAACAGCTAGGTTGATATACAGCGAAATCTATCCAAACCGGACGCTTAACCACACATCTCAGTCACATATTCGGTTAAGCTGTTCACATTGCTACCGTGTATTATGGGGTATTACCAAAAGGACAGTGCGTTCACTCGTGTAATAGTGAGTGAGTGAGTGAGTAGGGCTTAACGTCGCTTAACAGTATTCCAGTTATATCACGGCGTGTCAGCATGATGTGGGAGAAAAGCCCGAAGTGATGCAGGTCTTAGACGTTTAACACTTTGGTGAAACCCACGAGCACGGGTATGGTGCTGAGAAACCTAGAAACGTAATCGGGGCGAACCGGGATTCAAACCTACAATCATAGGTTTCTGGCGTGCCCAAGGGACGCAACTCTGCAAAGCCAATCGCGGCGCCTGACTGGGCCACCCATGCCTCATCTCGTGTAACAACACTTGGTACTTACATGTGCCTTATTTGGCATTTATTGACATTGATTTCATGAAATGAGATCATATGTCAAGCGGAAATGTAAACGCGAAAATTTAATAAAAATGAATAAAATATTCTCATGAACTTAAATTTCTTTAATATACCTATTCAGAATGAACGATATCTTTGAATCCAGAGTAATATTTCTGTGAAATGTATCTATATTCTGATGATCAAGTTTTATAATGTGGATAAACGAGGTTGTCTTTGAATGACTTGACACAAATTTTGACTCCAATATCAAAGATAATTCAGGATACACTGATGTTAGAACAATCGAAACGTTAAAGGAAATAAATTGATATTTACGTACCCCTGACATCCATTGTGAAGTATTAAGTTTATATTCGTGCTTGCGTCGATGTGACAAAAACATTATGTTAATTTAATTTGTGCTGTCATTTGTAATAACGTCCTTCATTTCCTGTTTCAGTCACGTGGTATTTGACCACAACAGGCGCGTAGCCTCACAGAATGGCTTGGTCAGTGGGATTCCACCATGGATGGACAAAGCCTGTGTTGCTATAATGGCTAGTCCTAGTGCCAGGTATGTGAACCATAGTCTGCAATGTTCTGGGAAAATAACACGCCGAGGTATTGAGGTATGCAGGGTTGATTATAAAGGCTGACAAAAGCGAGCAAGAAAATATTCGTCTTATTTCATACCCATGACTAGAGAATAGAAAATGTCTAAAAATATATTTAGGATAATTATATGATAGCGAACTTTCGTAAATTATCGCGTATCGCATGATTATCATAGAAGTTTAAGAATATATGTGAACTTGACCCTATAGCTGATATATATTTTGATGTAACACCTCACATATGCATTGTATGTTATGTTACTTATAACGGTATACACTTTATATGACTTTATATCTGTCTATGTATAAAATAGTTTATTATATAAATCTTCATATGTTTGAGGTTACCTGTTCGTAATACAACACTTGTGCTTCTGTATACGTGGATGTACCGAAACATAAACTTTGACATATTTTGTGGCATTTTTCAGTGGATCTACCAAAACATTTAGTTTCACATATATTTTGCCATTTTTCAGCGGACACTTGGAACCATTGGCGCTCATCACCATAGTGACCATGATGATCAGTCGGCTACTGATGTGATGATGAGGTTAGACGCGAGACTGGTGTACATCCTCGAGTAAACCACAAGATCTTGTATCATCTCCAGCAAGTCTGACTGATCAAAAGTAGGCGGACCTCAACGCAAGCAAAAAAACCATGCGTTTTGTGCCTTATCGAACTACATTCTCATGGTGCTTTCATACGCCAAACAAAACTCAGGAACGGGAAATAATGGAATACTCTTTGAATATTTCCAAGATTAGAGTATAAATGCCGGTATTCCAACTGGTGGGATATAACTGATTATATGATTTCCTATGTGTATTTGGAAGGATGTCAATAGTTATTTTCACGTCGCACAAAGATTATGTGATGATATGTTTTCGTTCTTCCAACTTGTACTAGCCAAAACAGAGATTTTTTCTTTCGTTTGATGACTGGTTAACTGAGTATATTGATAATCATAACGCGATAAACATATTATCATTGGCCAAGGCTGACTTTACCATTGCTTCGGCTAACATTAAGTTTCGAAATCAACAGGCAATGGCAATGGTAACTGAAAACAGAAACCAACCTCTTCTATGTAGGAATGTTATAGCCAACTAGGTTATTTCAGGCCTGTTGCCATATTCAGTATGACACAATCAAAATGATGCTTTTTAGATGTTTAGAACGTATTAATTCTGTTATACCAAATTTCTAACATGTGAAAAACATTTTCTAGGATGAACGAGGAATAACAATTGTTTCCCCTGTTGTATGTCGTTGTAGCGTGTGTATGGAGTGTGTGAGTGTGTGTGTGTGTTGTATATTTATTGTTCTCTCTGTGATGGGAACATGTTGATGATACCCCTTTCAAACATCTCCCCCATGTCTGCTGTGTCGCTACAGTAAATAATTACTTTTGGTGCGTAATTTGGTTGATCAAAGTTTCATAACGGAATACGAAACATCACCACGTGTTCATGAACCACCTTTTGTCTGAACGTTTGCTCAACTTAGTAATTACAACTGAGGCCATTTCCAAGAGTTGCGTCCCTTGGACAAACCAGGAACCGATGATCGATGGTTCGAATCCCGGTTCGCCCCGATTATGTTTCTAGGTTTATCAGCACCATACCCGTGCTCGTGGGTTTCACCGAATTGGTAAACGTCTGAGACCTGCATCACTTCGGGCTTTCCTCCCACATTAAGTTGACATGCCGTGATATAACTGGAATACTGTTAAAAGCGGCGTTAAACCCAACTCACTCACTCACTCACTCCAAGCTGTTGACAGTATGACATTGACATTCCAAGCAAGTAGATATCAACAAGCTGTGATATTAACTGTGCACTTAAGAACACTCTTACATTCAGACTGAAGACTAACATACATATATAACGTATATACTTACCTACACGCTGTTCAAAGATGACGCAAAACGTATTATATTGAAGGTTAATATTGTAAATATCACAAAGTGCTCAAATGTATCTTTGTACAAATATTTTTGATAAATATATATATATTTATGTATGTGCAAGTGAATGGACGCTCTACACCTTTCACAATAAAAGAAAAAAGTTATTTTTGTGTTATTGTGTTACATTTTGTATGATGTCGTCACGTTCCTCACCCACCTGGTCTAGTGGATGCAGCGTCTGACTAGAGAGCGGAAGGTCCGGGGTTCGATCCTCGGCCGCGTCATACCAAAAGACGTTAAAAGATGGTACTTGTTGTTACTCTGCCTGACGCTCGTCATTAAGGGGCTAAAACAAGGACTGGTCGGCTCGGAGTCAGTATACTGTGTCTGAGTGGGGTATTCATGTTAAACTGCGGCCTGGTATCTCAGTGGGCTTGCACTATAAATCGGCATCAGTCCGGAGTAGTACAACAGCCACACACGTGCATGCATGCGCTACGTAAGAGACGTTAACACCATTCCACCTCACAATCTGTAGCCATAGTTTTAAAAATCTTTAAGTCAAAATGTCGCAAGAACGGGTTTCATCGTTGTATGTATTTTAGGAATCGAACAATCGAACACACAGTCGCGGCATTATAGGCGAACGTTTCGACCACTATACTACTGGCCGAAAGGATGGGTGAGCTAATATATAATATTTAACGTCACATCGGCAATCAGCCGAAAGGATGGGATTGAGGAGGGTTGAAGAGAGAGGCACAGAGACCTAGGGCGTCAGAGGCGAGTAGGGAAGCAGGGACTCGATAAGGGGAGATAATTAGAATGGGATATCTGCTGGGTCGGGTTGGGTGAAGTTGTCGGGAAGAAGTGTGCCTCATTTTCTAATTACAGAAAACTACTTTTATAACGAACACGCTTATAACGAACTGACCGATATAACGAAAATATTTTAAGTCCAGACCATTTGTTGTATATATGCTGTATGTATGTTTATAACGAACTACGGTTATTACGAACTAAAATTAGTGGTCCCCTCGAGTTCGTTATAACCGTAGTTTACTGTATGTCACTACGGTGAATCCCGTCCAGGTAATTCATGATGGCTGATGAAACAGAAACACAAGCATCACCGTATTCTTGACACGACTGTCATTTAACGCTCAATTCTAAATTCAGTTAGGGGCACGGGTGGCCCTGTCGTCTAAGGCGCCGCGATTCGCTGTGCAGAGTTACGTCACATGGGCACGCAAGAAACCTATGATTGTGGGTTCGAATCCCGGTTCGCCCCGATTATGTTTCTAGGTTTGTCGGCACCATACCCGTGCTCGTGGGTTTCACCGAAGTGGTAAACGTCTGAGACCTGCATCACTTCGGGTTTTTCTCCCACATTAAGCTGACACGCCGTGATATAACTGGAATACTGTTAAAAGCGGCGTTAAACCCAGCTCACTCACTCACTCACTAAATTCAGTTGAAAAACGTCAAGATACATCCATAGACATGAGGGAATGCACCACGCCACAAAGACCGTTGAACTCGGGCCATATGTCGCTTATATAATATTTACCTCTGTAAAACCATTTCACATATTTCTCTAAGATAGTGATCACTGACCTCCTTTTTTCATGTAAGATCTTTTAAAGGTTTCTGTCCTCGCTCTCAACAACATTCGATCTATATTACGGCGCCCTCTGATTTCGCCACAGACGTACCAATATCAATATTAATATATACGAAATGTCATTAAATGCTAAAAACAAATAGGTGAGGTGAGATGAAATTGAGGTTAAACGTTGCGTACAACATTTCATTGATTGGTTCCACAGCTGGCTCGCTCGTTATCAAAAAACTTATTGTCGGTTAAAATATCTCCCCAGCAACCTATGCTGGTCGTGAGGATCCCGGTTTAGAATAGGTCCCCAGAAACCTGTGCTGGTCATAGGGATCCCGGGTAAGAATATCTCCCCAGAAACCTGTGCTGGTCATAGGGATCCCGGTTTAGAATAGGTCCCCAGAAACCTGTGCTGGTCGTGAAAAGCGACCAAGTGGATCTTGTGGTCTTGATCGCTGACTTGTTCGATCGTCATCGTCCCAGGACGGCATGGATCGTTGCTCACAATATCAACCATTAGATTGTCATTAGATTGTCTCGATTACAGACGGCGTTCAATGTCGATGGACAATCTGACTATGTGGGATGGCGACATGCAATCAGACATACAATATTTCATCCAGTTTCTAGTTATAGCGAACACTGTATCATGGCGTGTCCGATTTGTGTGGGAGGAAAGCCCGAAGTGATGCAGGTATCAGACTTGAAACTTTCTTGAAACCCACGAGCACGGGCATGGCGCTGACAAACCTAGAAACATAATCAGCGCCAACCTAGGAGTCGAACTAAGAAATGCACAGAATATGAAATAGGCATGCCCTTAAATGGAATGGATATAAACCTGTTTATATATTCCGCATGTTTATATGAAGGGAAAAGACCGACAAGACTATTGTCCTGTAGGAAGCGACCATACAATCAGTTTGTACGGGCTGTCTGTAGGACTGTCGCTTAAAGCCCAAAACATTTGTTTTGCTTGGTATATCGGTCCGAGTTATTGTCAACACTACACCGGTGTTTTCCCCGAACCGTCAGAATCAGAACAATATGATGCAAATAAACAACAACAGAAATCATTTCCACAATCATAAGAATTTTCTACCAAAAGCAGTCAACTGTACGATTCCAATTGTATGACAAGCATGTGTTTATGAATCACCCTCAAATACTGATGAAACCTCGTGTTCGCGAAAAGGTAAGTGTATCCAGTCCCACCGGTCACAAACACATGCAAAGGCAACTCACTTGTTCACCTGATAAAAACGGGAATACATGGTACAAGTCAAAATAAGCAAATGCTTCGCACATCAGTTATATCACCAATGCGTCAAATTTGGAAATGTCCTCTATATGTCAATCATTATACGTTTTGAAAGCTTTGCTGAAGCCTTTACGGTTGCAACCTTAATCAAACAACTTAAAAATTGAACAAGAGCCGTGTGACGCTGTTTGTTATCTTGGTAGAAAGAGCATGGTCGATTGTACCTCAAATGTTGTGAATTCTTGAAGAATGCTTGATTCTGATTGGTTTATTTAAATATATTGAAGCCTTTTTCACACAAACAACGTACGCATGAATACATCGATGGCCAACATATCGATTCATAAAAAAATGGCTGCCGATCGATAACCCATAGGAACTGTAAAACGTATAGATATTTCCTCAATTATACGCTGGGTCTCTAATACACGCCGGGGCAACGGATCTCGCGAAATTGATTGACGGCCAAGCGTCTTATAGAGGGAATACGGTAGTTTGACATCGTGTGTTTTTAGCGCCGATAATATGATGTTCTAGGCTGAAACCCTGACTGCTTCGATGGTGAGATTACAAGACTTTACGAAGGCATGTCTTTTGCATGGCGAACAGACTCGGAACAGGCAATTTCGTCATTGAAACAACCGACAATGAATGTAAAATGTAACTTTATAAAAATGTGCTTGAAGAGTGAGTGAGTGAGTGAGTGAGTTGGGTTTAACGCCGCTTTTAACAGTATTTCCAGTTATATCGCGGCGTGTCAGCTTAATATGGGAGGAAAGCCCGAAGTGATGCAGGTCTCAGACGTTTACCACTTCGGTGAAACCCACGAGCACGGGTATGGTGCTGACAAACCTAGAAACATAATCGGGGCGAACCGGGATTCGAACCCACAATCATAGGTTTCTGGCGTGCCAAAGGGACGCAACTCTGCAAAGCAAATCGCGGCGCCTTAGACGACTGGGCCACCCGTGCCCCCTGTGCTTGAAGAAACTTTATTCATGACAACATCTTGTTTACAAACCTTGCCGTGATCGATATTCATTGTCATCTCCGTCAACCACCACGAAAGGACTTGGCATGAGGGGATTTGAAAGTCCATCAGAAAACACTCGAAAACAATGCTCCGACATCAGAAAAGCCTCAATTTGATTCACAGTTTATCAGTTTGTCTTCAGTGTGGATGTCTTCAGTGTTAATGTCATCAGTGTGGATGTCATCAGTGTTAATGTCTTCAGTGTGGATGTCTTCAGTGTTAATGTCTTCAGTGTGGATGTCTTCAGTGTGAATGTGTGGATGTCTTCAGTGTTAATGTCTTCAGTGTGGATGTCTTTAGTGTGAATGTCTCGAGTGTAGATGTCTTCAGTGTGAATGTGTGAATGTCTTCAGTGTGAATGTCTTCAGTGTGGATGTCTTCAGTGTGAATGTCTTCAGTGTGGATGTCTTGAGTGTTTATATCTTGAGTGTGAATGTCTTCAGTGTGGATGTCTTCAGTGTGAATGTCTTCAGTGTAGATGTCTTCAGTGTGGATGTCTTCAGTGTGGATGTCTTCAGTGTGGATGTCTTCAGTGTGAATGTCTTCAGTGTGAATGACTTCAGTGTGGATGTCCTCAGTGCGGATGTCTTCAGTGTAGATGTCTTCGGTGTGAATGTCTTCAGTGTAGATGTCTTCAGTGTAGATGTCTTCAGTGTAGATGTCTTCAGTGTAGATGTCTTCAATGTAGATGTCTTCAGTGTGAATGTCTTCAGTGTGAATGTCTTCAGTGTGAATGTCTTCAGTGTAGATTTCTTCAGTGTAGATGTCTTCAGTGTGAATGTCTTCAGTGTGGATGTCTTCACAGTGAATGTCTTCAGTGTGAATGTCTTCAGTGT